TTGTTGTTGGCAGAGCTCTCTGCTATACATCCACCCGATCCGCCATCTTGTTTGCTCTTAATAGTAACACTTGAGATCAAGTATTCTAGCAAGTATTCTAAGTTTTCAGATATTATTCTATTCTTTCAAATTGTTTTGGTTATTCTAGATCCTTTGCATTCCCATATACATTTTAGAATCAGCTTGTGTCATGATATTCCTGTCATCATGGACAAATTACTTGTAACGTATTTCACAGTTGATATGTTGAGATAGAGAATTGGGGAGTACGTGGTGGATAGTATACCTGATTAATTATTTCCAAAATTGGAATTAAGTGGCAGAGTAGAAAGATCTGGTTCTGGATTCTGATGCTGCCACATAGTTTCAAATGGTCTCATGTAAATCTGATTTTTTTAGTTTTCTCATCTACAAGCAGGGATAGAAATGCCTGTTACCTGTGAATATTGTAAGGATGAATTAAAAAATGTATGTAACGTTTTCAAGAAGGACTTTTGCCTAGTAGGCTCAGCCAGTGACTGCTATTACTCCTCTATTATTGTTATCAGTACTTTTCTGAGATACAGATAACCATGTCCTCCAGTTCTACACAGTAAACATCCCTTCTTATATATTTCTACAATGTGGACATTGTAGAATCGTAAGCGGAAAGTTAAATTATCCTTCCTTAACCATGTATTTATATGTTATGTATTACTTTGTTCAATGTATCACATTTAATTTTTGGTCCAAATATTTTCTTTTCTGTTCCATCAGAATCTTGAGCTCAATGATGATACTGTTTTGAATGAGATACAGTTAGCAGACTGTGAACAGTTTCAGGTGCCTGACCTATGTGCTGAAGAGCTTGCTGTTATCCTTGGAGTTTGGTAAGTTAATAATTTTTGGGTACTTTGAACACCTTGCATTTTTTCATTCTTTTGTTAGGAGGAAATCTTTATTTCTAAAGGTCTTCAGAAAGTTGGATGAGTCGGAGAATCATGGAATGTTTATGAAGAGTGAGAGAGAATAGTTGGACAGCAAATCAAGAGTAAGAGAGTAGGAATCTCTCATGTTAGTGTGCTCATCTTTTCTTTCCTTCGTAAGCACAATTTCTTTGCTTACCCTTGTTGTTGTTAAGTGCCATCCAGTCAGTTCCGACTCACAGCAACCCTGTATAGGGTTTCTGAGGAGTGGCTGGTGGGTTCAAACCATCCTTGCTGTCCATTGCAGTATCCTGCAGTGCTATACCAGTACCCTTAGCTAGGAATAAATAGGTTCTTTGTAAAGTATTAAGCATAAATGACTGTGACTGTTTTAATTTTGAGGATATTTACATTTCAAAGATAAATTATTTCTTAAAACTTTTTGTGAATTAAGTGAATGTTTACAAATAAGATCGTCAGTTTTACTTTCAATAAACCATACACTTTGTTCTGTCTGTGATTGCAATCCCTTCCATGCAACAACAGTTATCGCACTTCCTCCCTGTGGTTCCTATTTCCATTCCATCCTCCTCCCCATCTCTTCTCAACTTTGTCCTTAAGTATGTGTTACCCTTTTGATACTCAGTGATTGACCACTCCATAGTATGCATACC